ACAGCTCCCTCGCCCTATCAGGTCCTAAGGAAAAGTTCACAGCTCCCTCAAGCTACCAAGTGCCTAAGGAAGAGGTTCACATGGGGTCTTGCAGCGAGTGCGGTATTCTGGACTTGGATACTCCAATGCTGCATTGAATGACAGCTCCCTCAAGCTTCCAAGTGCCTAAGGAAGAGGTTCACATGGGGTCTTGCAGCGAGTGCGGTGGTCTGGATTTGGATTCCCAATGCTGCATTGAGTGACAGCTTCCTCACCCTTTCAGATTCCTAAAGAAAAGAATCACATGGGGTCTTGCAGGGAATGCGTGCCGATGGTCTGGACTTGGATTCTCCAATGCGGCATGGAATGACAGCTCCCTCACCTACCAAGTTCCAAAGGAAAAGGGTCACATGGGTCCTACAGGAATGCGGGTAGTCTGGACTTGGATACTCCAATGCTGCATGGATGACAGCTCCCTCAAGCTACCAAGTGCCTAAGGAAGAGGTTCACATGGGGTCTTGCAGCGAGTGCCGGTGGTCTGGATTGGATTCCACAATGCTGCATTGAGTGACAGCTTCCTCACCCTTTCGATTCCAAAAGAATAGGATCACACGGGTCTTGCAGGGAATGCGCGCCGGTGGTCTGGACTTGGATTCTCTAATGCCGCATGGAGTGACAGCTCCCTCGCCCCGAGAAATTAGCAATAGGAGCCTCTATGGGTGCGCCACAGCTGTGCTGGTTTAGTCAGATGGAAACAACTTTTCATCGTGTACATCAATCAGTACACACAGCAATGCAGCCATGTGACAATTGTATATGCTGAGGCTGCTATGTGTTCAGAGCATAAATAGCCTTCAGCCTAGATACATTGGAATGTCCAGACAACAGTCCTCTCTAGGATCTCCAACGTGGATATCCTCTCCAAAAGAACCAGTTCTGTCAACTGGAATGAAATCGTGGTAATGGTGTTTAGCTTATAGTAAGAAAGATAGTAATGAAAGAGTAACCCCTAGACCCAGTAGCACCCTCAGCCCTGCAGTAGATAGATCCTGTGTGGTATGTGCTAGGGCAATGTAACCAGCTCCCCAAGTACTTTGAAGTAGTGTTGGGTAGCATTGATCCAGCTCTTTTGAGCTGGCCTTTCAGCCAGTGGAGGAGATTCATCAACCAGAGATCTCCTCCCAGCTCTTGTGTTCCTACAACTGAGTTTCCTGGTGGAGATTCATAGGATTAACATAGCCATAGCAAGCACAAGAGTGGCTACACACAGTGTGGAATAGTGGTGGAAGAGTGGACGAAGAAGGAAATCCTGCCGACAGTGGCTCCCAGATCAAAATCGACGCCGAAAACTGAATCGACCGATTCGAGTGGAACCAAGCCGTTCACCTATCAACCAAAGGGTGCTTGACAAGCTACCGTTGTTGCAAGCTTGTTAATTGCCGTGATTACGGCTGCCGATAGTGGAATAGACCGCCATTGTCGATCTTCGATTTTCCGTACGATAGCGATTTTCCCAGTCGTGCTTCACTGCAACGTACCTTCTCGGAAACTGGTACTCACACGGTACTCAAAGACACCGTACCTCTGTCCGAAAGCAAGCCACACCAGTCCCAAGCGATCCTCACAATTTCGTTCGAAACGCGAACTTGACTCGAAGGAACCCGGAAAGCCTCGAAGATACGCTACTTGTACATCCGTAAGCCTACCCAGACAACTCGGACACTCGAGACACCTTTCGACTGTTTCGAAGGTATCCAAGGGTAGTAAAGGATAGAGAAGCACCTGCTTGATCATCTACCAGCAGTGCAAGCCTTCAGACCCCTTTTGGATTTTCTGTGCTTGTGTTTGTGCGTGCCTCTCCAGCCACACATACACACACCAACACCAACAATACTCATCCAACCGTACCCTTCCAAGGAACAGCGCAACACCACTACACTACCACTACACTACTGCCTGTTAGCCAGCGCACCAATCATCATGGCCGCAAGAAGAGAAGCAACAGCAGGAAATGGATGCAGTGACACCATATCACTAGCATCAATGGCACCAACACACAGGACAACACCAACAGATCCACTACTGCAGAGAACCAGCTCCAGCCCCAGCTCCAGCTCCTCCTGTCAGAACACCTGTGGATCCCCCAGGCTGTTTGTTACCACCACACCACAGTGCCATCCCCACTTGGCTTCCTCCAATCTAGCAACCATGACACAACAACAATGATCAGCCAACCTTTTGAGCAGCTGACATTGGCATTGACAGAGGCATCAAAGCAAAATGCCCTTGATTCCTTCAATGCATCCTCTTCCCTCCATGCATACTAACCCATGGCTCCATTCCCTAAACAACCTGTGGTTATCACTCAAGCCAGCCCTGAAGATTTTAAAGGCTGGAGACCGATTCAGAACCAGGCATTTTGGAACAGAGCTTGTTGGTTGATGTTAGGCCGAGACCCCCTTGTTTATCCATTCCAACTGCATGTTGCGATGGATGTTGCCTCTCCACCAACTGGAGATGGCTACCTTGACCAAGTATGGGCACCCAATGGGGAGGAAAACACCCACCAACCAAACAATTCCCATCACAATCCAAGGTAGAGTACAGCTCCCATTCAACCTGTGTCGTCCACCATCCAACCTACTGTAGTTGTCTCATCCCAGACGCCAGTGTATTCAGCCATCACTCCAATCAGCAAACCTTTTGTGCCTCTAGAGAAGCAGTCAAAGAGGAACTCCATCCCCAATCCTCTGGGGAGCAAATGGCCACAACCACAGGTGAAGAAATCCATCTTCTCCAACATCCATGGCATGTCTCCCATGAAGAGGATGCAGGGAAGGAGTCCCAAAAATGTAGCAGGTCCTGTTGGTTCAGGAAATCCTGACTGCTTTTGTGGCAATCCACAAGGTAATTACAATCGGTGGCCAAGGAGAGTCCTGATGGCACTGATCCATGTCCTGGAAGAGGTGGAGGCTGTGGCAATCCAGAACCAGAAGGCAGGTACTTCCGGCCAAGGCAGATGCCACAGCCTACCCTAATCTTAGTTCCAACAAGGAATTTGTACAATTGGTATGAGCTTTCATTGCATAAGCAAGAACCCAAGGCTTCTACAAGGTCTTCGACACTGACTATGCTCCCATGACCACCGAGTACTTTGAGGAACTCATACGGATGAACCGGTGGATCTATGCTGTCCTCCTGAACACAGTGAAGACAACCAATGGAAAAAAGTTTTCCCCCCCAAAAATAAAAGTTGCAAGTCCTCAACTTTCCATGATATGCTGATTGCTTTGCAATCCTTGTGGAACTGATCCAGGATGCACATGCATCAGTGGCAGGCTCCCTGGACCATGTTGAGGTCCTCCATTGGCTTTCAAGTGTCCAGTACAGTCCAAGGCAGGGCTCTGCTGTTGACTTTGTCATCAAGTTTGACGAGACCATCACCCACTACAATGATGGCCACCGAGATCCCAGCGACAAGCTCAGCGACAGCATGCAGAAGCTGTTCCTGCAGCGTGCCTTCACCGATGTCCAAGTCTTGAACGACATCAGATCCCGTGAGCATGAAAGAATGTGCCGTCATGGTCCCAAGGAGCGCTTCACCTACGAGGCGTACAAGGAGACACTGAAGAATGCTGCCACCCATTACGATGTCAACCGCCGTGTTCCCGACTCCCACCTAGCAAATGTCAATGAGGAACTAGGCCATCTCAACGATGGTGAGGAGCAGCAAGTCCTCGGACTCCCAAGCACAACTTGGTTCAAGCTTTCACCCGCCGGCCGCCAAATCTGGTGCAAGCTCCCTGATGCCGACAGACAAGTCCTGATAGGTTCGAAGCCACCTGTAGTTGATTCCAAGAGTGAAGCTGACCCAGCAGTCGGGGACACCTTGGACTCTCCCATGGCAGACGACAAAGCCTTCAAGGGCAAGCCCAAGCCCAATCCCAACCTGGATTTTTGATGGGGCGACTAGTGTACGTGCTGCACCGGTCAAGCCCAAGGAAACCAGGCACCGCCCATGTCTGCAGGGTAGCATAGTGTTTACGCATATGCTTAACAAAAGTGCATGGAGAACAGAACATTCTTTACTATTGAACAAGATTCTTGTGGGTGCGCCTGCTTCAACATGCAAATGGGCACATTCTTTGTGCACCAAGCTATAAACAGTTTTCGCAATCGGCATTCATTTTCCTTATGCCCCTTGGACCTGACCGCATTCTGCGCTTTATCCAAGGCAAAAACTTTGGCCACCCCTCAAATCTTTTCCAGTTGCACAAAATAAACATGCACGATGGTCAAATTCAAGTGCCCGTACTGCTTAAAAACGTGCAAGACCGACTGGGGTTTGAAGCGGCATCAGGATACAGATTGCCGAATCCCGCATTCGATTCAGACACGGACTGACCCTGGCTCCCACGACAACGACCGTGGGGATGATGACAATGGCGGTGGTGGCAAAAGGAGAGCAAGAGATGATGAGGAGACAAGCAGTGCAGAGGAAAATAGTGATGAGGAAAGACCTAGGAAGAAGATGCACTTGGAGCCAGAATTAGAGGCCATAGAATCAATCACTGACAGAGAAGAAGAAGCACTCCAGACAAGAGGTGACTTACCAGTGGATGCCACCACAGATAGTATTGCAGCTTATTGGGACGGAGAACTGTTGACACAAGGAGCACATGAGGAAGACGTTGAGGCAAGTGCAAACGCATCACACGATGCTCCCCTTCCCAATGTGCAAGTGGATACGGTGGATGGGGCAAGTGAAGCCGACTCCAGTGATGTTGCAGATTCTTTGATCCATTTGCTGATCCGTCTGATGAGGAAGCTCAAACCAATGCAGATAATGGGCAAGAGGGCAAATGCAATGAGCCAAGTAGGCAAACAATGAAAGAGTTCAAAGATTATGTGAGAGATGCATGTCAAAACTTTATACCCCTCAAGCAAAACGAGAAAGCAGCAATCAAGATCATGCACACATTGTTCAAAAAGAAGGCACTTTGGATACGTACGATGCTGTGATGGAATGGCACTTCAAGGAATGTGGAAAGCTGGCAGAACACCAATCACTTGGTGAGTGCAAAGAGTTCATTTCGCGCAAAAAATTGATGAAGAAGCTCAAAACGCGGTACAACATGGGCAAAAAGTATGCCCAACCGATAGAGAAAGTCTTGCCCCATACCAAGTCTAAGGTCAAAATATATCGCCGACATGCACGAGATCTTGTCGAAAGCCTTCTGACTGATCCACGATGGAAGGATGAGGATTGGCTGTTCTTCGATAACGAGAACGGTGAACCAGATCCTTTTGCACCACCCCCCAACGATTTGAAGCAAATTGGGGATCTCAATACAGGATTAGCATATCGTGAGACGTACAAGAAGCTGATCACCAAACCTGACAAGCAAATTTTGGTGCCCTTACCTCTTTACATTGATGGGGCTGTAACAGGGCAGTTTGACAAGCTCCAAGTTACCGCATTGAAAATATCCCTGGGCATCCTGAACCGTAGGGCCAGGGACAAAGAACATTCATGGAGGGCCCTCGGATTGGTGAGCAATTACACAAAAGAAGATTCAAGAGGACAAAAGATTTTCACCGAGTCGGGCCATGTTGCGGCCGAGGATGCGGCAAGGGAAGCAAATGCAAATGATCAGGCAGCAGGCCAGTACACCGGAAAGGAAGGGGATCCAGACAAGGCGGCCGACTATCATTTCATCCTGGAGGAGCTCCTGAAGAGTGTAGATGAGCTTATCAAAGAGGGGATGGTCATGGATATTCGGTACAAGGCAAACTTTACAAGGACTGTGAGCTCGTCTTCTTTATCCCCTTCGTCAAATGTGATGGGGATGAGGGTGACAAGTTGTGCCTTTCCTTTCGGTCCAGAGGCAAAAACATCAAACAGTTGTGCCGGTACTGTAAATGTCCAAATGACCGAACCGATGATCCAAAGGCAAAGTTCCCATATAAGACGGAACCAATGCTGAAGAAGATGTACGAGGCCAATGATCATGCGGAGTTGCGGGAGCTCTCACAGATTTGCGCAAAAAATGCATTCCATGGCCTGCGGTTTGGCATGCATGATAACAGAGGAATCCATGGTGCTTGCCCAATGGAGTTGCTGCATGCCATCTTGTTGGGCATCTTCAAGTATGCCAGGGATTGCTTCTTTGCCCAAATCGGTAAAACATCTACAACCGCTGAGGAGATCAATTCGCTTGCCAAACTGATTGGAAGGCTACTTTCTCGTCAATCTGACCGAAATCGACCAAGGACAAAGTTCGCATGGATAAGAGCAAGGCCCTTCCCACTACCGCCATGATCCTCAAGTGTGCTTGTCGCCAAATTGATTTGGAGGTACGTCCATATTCGTTTTATGCTAATGCCCCAAATGTTTGACTCACTTTTTAAATACCAATTTCCCCTGTTGCGCAAGGTTGAAGAGGAAAAGGAGATTTTCATGTGGTACTGGAGAGAGTTCTTGCCTAAGGTCTTCGGAGCCATTGAGTGGGGCAAGAATGTTATGTTCTACAAGACCATCAGCGAAGCCAAAACGAGCACCAACAAGCCCATTTTCACCCCTCACCATGAGGCCAAGGCTGTTGTTGTTTGGGACAACAATGAAGCCAAGTGGACCGAGCTGCACAAATGGGTCAAGTAGCACCCAGGTGAGGCCCAACCCATCAAAGGAGGGAAGTACACCAATGTTGATGCTGGCCAAAGCGAGCATACTGCTTGGGAAGCTGATGGTTTGGAAGCCTACAACCAATACAAGAAAAAGGTGAAAGAGGCCCATTCCAGTGCCCACACGGGCAGCATTATCAGTCTGGAGCAGAAGACTCTGGAGCTTTTGCGCATTGCAAATGGGCACACCTGTGGCTCCCACAAGCAACAGCAGAAACTCAACAAGGCCAACAAGTGCAGAGCCAAGAACGCCTTGGAGCCACTCCAGGCTAAAAAGGCCAAGACGGTTAGCACCTTGGACGATGAAGATGACGATGCATACATGTGAGAGCATCTTTGTTTGGCCCATTTGGGCATTTCTCGGCCTCTGATGGATTTTCTGGCCTGGTTTCCGAAAAAGGTTTGGGCAAGTCGGCAAATCTGTTCATCCAATTGGACATTTCTTCTGCAGTGTTTGTGTCACATTCCTGTGACTTTCTGCGAACTGTTTCTGCAACAACCAAAGACATTTCTGCTCAGCCCTGCTTTCTATTGCCCTCTCCTACTAAATGGTACTGTTCTCTGAGCTA